ATTTTACACCTGCAGAATCAGGAAGTCAGTCATCCTTTATGTAACTGTGATCAAGATCTCGAAGGTACAATTCTCTGAAACACAACATTATCATATGCAAATTTATACAATTACTTTGTCGTTTTACAAAAAATGGCATAAGCAAATTCTGCCCTAAATAATGCCATATTACTTTGCCAGTTCTTATGGATGTCCCAATCAATATTATTATATTGTATAATTTGATCCATGTATTTACATATAAACATTCCACAGTCGACATTGTTCTCTTGTGCTGGCAAGTTTGGGATCGCTTGGATTGGCCAGGTTCTTATATAATCCTCAAAAGCATCCTTTGCTTTAGCATATAAATGAGATATCTGTAAAGGTAGTAGAATTAGAATATTTATAATCAATAAAATACAATAAACCAAAGATAAACCTAAGTTCTTACAACTTCCGGAGCAATAGCCTTGTGTGTTGCTTTGGGTAATGAATCCATAAAATCTCATATTTTTTTCTTCATGTTTGCAACCAGCAAAGTCCAGTGTTTTTCGTTTATGATGGGAACAAATATAAGGTTAGCATTCTTGACAGCATCTGGGGTGATGTTTCGCACAAATGAAGTGGTGTTTTCCTCATTATTTTGAATATGATAACCCTACAAAAAAAGTCATTTAATCAGTAAATGATATACACTATACCTATACTATAAATGATTACTTACCCAATGAAAAGATGAAACATATAGAAAAGGTTGGTTCAGTCCTGAAACTATGTTGTTTTTTTCAGATAACAGAAATGCAAAAGTGTCCACATGATTGTTGTCAAGCTCTTCGCATAGCAACAATTCGTCCATTTGGCTTCTAAAAATAATTGCATTTCCATTCGCCAATATGGTATCCTCCCTGTACATTTTTTCTCGCCATCGTTAGTAAAAACGTACTATACCGAGTTGTACCGAGTTATTTAAACTCGATACAACTCGGTATTCAGTATATAAACACGGTACTTCCGGTTTGTACAGTAAAATCTAGGTAAGTGAATACCAAATAACTTGCTATACCGATTTGTACCGAGTTGTACCGAGTTTTTAATTTCTCGGTACTCCTCGGTATTGAGGAAAAAACCACTATGTTGGCGTTCATATAGAAAAAAATATCAAATAAAAGTTAAATACCTAGTTGTACCGAGTTGAACCGAGTTTTTAATTTCTCGGTACTCCTCGGTATTGAGAAAAAAACCACTATGTTGACGTTCATATAGAAAAAAATATCAAATAAAAGTTAAATACCGAGTTGTACCGAGTATTTTTTTTCTCGGTACAACTCGGTATTGCGAATAAAACTACGTACTTTTTTGTATACTGCTTAAGAAGGTTATCAATGGAATTCCTCTTTTCTTCATTAAGCAGTAATCATCCCGGGTATTCCAAAAATCCCTCAACCGTACGTTCTATAGTTTTGGAATCCTCAACATAAAAAATTGCAGTTTTGGGTAGTACAGAAACATGAGATTTTGGTTGTTCAGCGGTAGGAGCAGCAACAGAAATAACTGAAGTTAATGGAGCAATTTTTTTAGGTTTAGAAGCTTTTTTAGGATCAGGTAACTTCTCTTGAAGTTTTCTTGTTGAAGCACGAGCTACAGGTTTTCTTTCAGGTATTGATGTTTCCTTTTTACTAACATTTTCAACATCATCATTACCCAACTGAACTTTCTTCTTCCTCCTATCACCTGCTGTGAATAGAGTTTTAACTATTTTCCTTTTCCTGTTACTCCTGAGCTGCACTCTTCGAGCAATTCCTGCACTTCCAGATGAAGGGAAAGGAAATTCATCATCTTTAGATTGTCTGTCAATAACTTCTATCCCTTTAAAATCTGATTTTTTTATTATTTCATCAATAATTTTATCAACATTTTTCGATACTTCATCCAAAACCTTATTAGATTCGG